TCGACATTTCAAAGTAGAGACTTCGATGTAGCTGCAAAGGTTTACGTTATGCTGAACTGAACTCGTCTACGATTATGAAGTGATAATTCGGCAAATTGATTTCCACTTAAATGGAAAAGTGATTATGCAAAACGCGAATGTTGTAATCGCTCATGGCGATGGTCGGATGACGACGCTCTCTCGCTCCGATGAGAGGCTCATCGGGGTGCGATGCTAATTGACGATCGCACGGGAAACGGGATTGTACTCGAGAGGATCGACGCCCCGTTCGGCAGGCAGGGTGGAAGATGCTCGGGCATTTCGGTAGCAACGAGAGCATATTGGGCTACCTCACAGTCAAAGGTACAGATAACAAAATTATCTCTGAACTTCACAATTTGAAACAAATGAAGATAGATTAATAATCGACTTGTCGTTCTTAACAAGAATGCAAGATATATACTTTCGAGGTCAGCAAAGAAAATAATAATAGTAAAATTAATGATGCTTCTTATATCATATCAACAATGTTGATAAGGCCTGAGTTGTCTTAATTATTAATGGCGAGAATTTGAGCAATCCGTGTGTTCTTCGCATTATCAATTTCATTACGCGGAGGGTGATTGAGCGTTTGTTGTATTGTAAAAATTTATACGATGCTTGATAAACGGTGCTCGGCAGATCGAAGGAAAGCGCAGCCTTCAACAACCGCGCCATGACAATGTGCTCGACTTAAATTTACAGTAATTTAGCGCCGCGCTCGGACGAGAATTCGTAAATTAGCGGCGAGCCGAGTCACACTTACGCATTCGTCTATGTGATAATTTACTTCGAAAGTCAGTGGAAAGTTGCCTTTTATAACAATTCTTGTTACAGCAGAAACAACAAACGTGAGCAAAATTTCAGGACTGCTATTTTGCTCGTCGCGATTTCGATAATCTATTTATTTTTAAATATTTAAAACCATTTGCATTTACATATTTTGCATATAATCGAGATGTTTAAATATACATGAATTTGAACATGAATTTTATATGAAACTATCCATTTTCTTTTAAGCAAATCTCGACAAAGAAACATTTTGGCGTGATAACGCTTGGAACCACCATAATCCTTTAATTTTAAATAGCAACTAAAATTTTATATAATTAACTTCCGAGATTTACCTTCCGTAGCGATATATAAGCTCTTCATGATTAAATCAAAGTCGCATAAATTTCGCTGGTAGTTTAGATTAAAACTGCATTGTTCATAATTGGGAGCTGTTAATCTCTTTTTTTTGAGCTTACGTAACGAATTAAACTTTGCAAAATCTGCAGTTCGCGTATGAGAGCTTTAATTAATTGTTAACTTATTTTCCGTAACTTCGAAATATTAATCTATTCCGCAGGTTTCTCGTTAACTTTTTAAACTCGAAATTTTACAGAGACTCTTTAGGATATTTATATATTAAGTTCAGATTATATAAATGAATTAATACTACACCATAAAGCGCTTTTATTACAAATTTATTCGTCTCTTTCCACGGAATATGTGTATTATAGTATAAGGTAAATCCGATAGATACGTTGCGTACCATTCCCGTGTTTACCCAACATTTATCTTTTTCCGACGACCCCTTCCGATAATGGCGTAGCCACGAGACTCGTAAAAGCCGGCATTGTGCCTTTCCCCATTCCTTTATTTCTCATTTTTCTTTATCCTCTTGTCATATCGCAGAGAAGGAGATCGATACGTGTATGAATTTCTTTTTGAACAGACTTACTACTACAAATCTTACCATCGTGTAAACAAATCTGAAAAAACGACGTGCCACGTCTTATCGCCGTGAAAAACGATTACAGGGCGTTTTATAAGTATATATAGCATATGGCAAAGTCCGTGAACTAAGTTCAACGCCCTTTGAGACAACAGAAAAATTCATTTATGGGAGAGACATGGTTTGAAACTTTTTTAATTTAAGTCTCACATTTTATTTGTCAATACGATATTTTTATTTAATTATTTTCAATTTTATTTAGTAATGAAGAACAAAGAATAATAAATAAATATTCTTGATAATAGGCATATAATTAGGAAAGAAATGATGATTATCTTTACTTGATTCTGTTTTATTTTACACGCGAATACAACGTCACAAGCTGAGAATGTAGTCTGGTTATCTAGGACGGTCCGCCTTCTACGGTGAACCTTGGCAATTAAGCCAAGACTTAAATTTTTCCTGACAAGAACTTGTTAGTCTGAAGTTAACACACAATTTCGCGCTCTTTACACTCCGACAGATTAGTTATAAAAAATTTGCATAATTCCTTTATTATCAATTCAAATTAGTCACTTCCTAACGGAAAGTTGGCATTATTAAAGCAAATGGCTAACTTTTTGTACTTCTGCATTTTTTTAAAGTCTGTTTTTTTGAACTTTACGTTAAGTGTCGGATAAAACTTTTGCTTGCGGATTTCGCCACTTTCTTTTTATTCCGTCGTGAATTCCGCCATCGAAAGCGATCGCTAGAAGCGTTGGAAGATCGGTCATGTCGGAAAGTCGTGACTCACACGTTCCCGTCCATGTTGTCTTCCGAATGCGGATGACCGGTTAGGTTTATCGTCGAGGTGCTCGCTTGCCACGATGAAGTTACGATGCGTACGCGTAACTTCGCCGTAACGGTAGTCGCCGGGTGCGACTTGCAACTAGCGCGTTGTTCGCGCCTCGTGGAAAGTGCGATGCACGCACACCCCGGTTTCATTTTCATTCGACGTAACTCGTTTGAGGAACAGCACGTACCGCGATCCCTGGCGTGTATGCATGTATATCATCTCTGCAATCCCATTAATTCTCCAAAGTTGACACATTTACAGCCTCGTATTACAATACGACTGCGATTGCAACTTCACCGTCACGAATGCAAAAAGTCTACATAAAGATTATCTGATACAACTTTAAGCGTGACGGCTGCATGCATCCGTTCTTGTACTTAACGAAGATGCAAATTTAAAGCGGATTAAACTGATATTAATTTTAACATGTATAATCCGTTCGTCATATTGGAGTAAGAAACTTCTCCTATATCTATGACAAATACGCGTCTATGCAATGCAAATCAGCTGGAATATTACATCCCATAATTAATTCGAAGTTCCCTCGGCGGTTCTCCGTCGTGAACAACGCGGACACCGCGGGCAACGCGTGAGAAATTCGAGGCGGACGGTGAGGCACACGAATCTGCATGATAAACGTTCGCGAGATTCCTCGGCTTCTCTTTCGCATTCGCGCAACGTCGACGTCGGCGGTTTCGCGGTGACGATTTGCGCGGCGATATCGTTCGCATTCCGCGGGGTGCACGTCACTCACCGACGCGGCGTCGTCGGCCGAGGAGTCGCGTTCTGAAAAGTTGCAGAAAACTGCGTGCTAAATTGCATGCGCCTATACAATCGCGTGTAATCATTAAAACGCAATAGAACGTACGGTCAAAGAGCAAGAAGTTGCCATTGTTTGATATCTCGAATGTCGAGACTAAAAGGGATTTAAATCAGAAGAGTAAGAAATCAAGTCGAAGCTGAGAGAAGAAGTTTATTTCAGTATCAAACAAAAATATATATATAATTCAATTAAAATATAGTATAATTGTACTTTATATTATCGTATTGTTATCTAATAGAATGTCATCAAAGTTGCAGCAACGTGCACTTTCTCACAATGGCCTTTAAATATTTTGTGTCATTAATTTTACGATATCGCGTAAATCTTTATCGTTTGGACTACTAATCGTTATAAAATTACACACAGATTCTGATATGCTTATAGTTTTCTTGATAAGTTTGAGAAGCCTCGTCGCTTTATGTTGGTCATGAAAGCAGTCTTGACACTAATTCGCACATTATCAATTAATCACGTCGCGCCGCACTTTTTCCTAGCGACCTGAAACTCACTTACGGTATCAGCAAAGCGAAAGAGAGGCATCTCCAACAGTGTCCTCGCTCGCTCTTTTGCGACCCGACGGAGTGTCACGCCTACCGTGAATTGTACAAATTCATATTACTACTCAGATCCAACGTGATTACGAAACGTTCCGCGAAGTAAGTACGATTACGTGCGTTTTGGTTTCAGTTCAGAGAAAATCATCAGAAAATAATTCTTTCGATTTTTATATTCATTTCTTACTTTTCTTTTCTTTTTTCAAGTGTATTACGATTTTACATTTTAATATTTGCACAACTGCCTCACTGGGCAGTTGACCGTAATTATATGCAAATTTAAATTGCATTGTTTTCTTTGTTATATCGATAATTATAATTAGTCTCTACATTATAAGTTACCATCGATAATAAATAATCAGCATTTAAAAAAAGAGCTCAACTGATATAACGTTAATATGTGGATGAAAAGCTCGATAGAAACCTTGCGATTATTATACCCGCTGTTTTTTCGAGCAGTGTATATGTCGCATTATACACTGGAACATCCACGTGTGAGACACTCCGCTGCAGAATTGCCGACTGCTAATTTCGCTAATTGCTGCGAAGAGTTCCATGTATGCGTGCTATCACATATTGATAGTGATACGTGGTATAATTATGACGTGTACATGACATGAGCTTGCATAAGGACAGACACTCGGGGACTCGAATTTACCTTTACCGTTTCCTAAGAAACCGTGGCGAAGTCTTTGATTAATAATCGTAAAGAGATAATGTAAATGTAGATTTAAGATAAGATGATAACGAACAGGAATTAAAATATTTTAATGTTGTATCTTGCGTAATTTATGCTTCTAAACATAGATTTAACAATGCAATCTCAGAATATATTGAAAATATATAAACAAAGACTGAAGACTTTAGATATCACATTATTTCCAATAACGTATAAATTTTTAAATTGTAAATATGTATATATTGCTAATTTAGTAATTTAGCGTTGAAAATTTTATACATCGCTCTTTTTATGCAGAGTAATGTGCTGTGTATTTTTTAACTTTTTTTCCAATGTAAAATATGTAACACATGTCAATGGTACTTTTACAGATTCTCAGGATGTCGACCTGGACGCGATTCTCGGTGAATTGTGCGCTTTGGAGCGACGTTGCGACGGCGACATCGCCGCCACTCCTGCGGCAGATTCACAAAGGCCAGGACGACCCACCAGCGCAAGGATCAATCCGGGCGACAGCACTGACATCAAAAATGAAGGAGGTACGGGCTTGAATATCAATGAAATTTTCTTGCGATATATTATTCGCATTTATTGTATTTGATTTGTTGCTTAAATTATATATAGCAACCTACTTTATATTACTTGCAATTTTATATTATATTATATATAGCGCATAATGAAGCTTAAAATATTTTATCTTTGTATGCATTTATGTTTGATCTTGTTATTATAGGTATGCGCACTGATAGTCCCGATAACGACAGTGCGTTTTCGGACACGGTGTCCATGCTGTCCAGCGAAAGTTCGGCAAGTAGTAGCGGTTCCGGACACAAGCCACCTCAGACCGCCATGCACACAGCTCCTCAGCAACAACCACACCAACTTGTCGGTGAGTCTTTATTTTATTACTTTACGCCGTGATCGATAATTACAGATCGTTAATTGAGTCATCGATTTAACTGAGACCAATTTAAATTTTGTTAATCCCATTTCTTTAAATTCGTTCGTTTTACGTGCGCTATTTTATCTGTTTAAAATACTTGGACGGCAAATATTCTATTTTTACTTGTATTTATATCTATGTCAGATGGGATCGTGCATCATGAGTAAATTTGTTTGCAATTATCTCTTGAGATGCAGCGAGTAGAGCGAAGGCAGAGAAGATCCGCCTGGCACTGGAGAAGATGCGCGAGGCGAGCGTACAGAAGCTCTTCATCAAAGCGTTTACGTTGGACGGCAGCGGTAAAAGCCTCCTGGTCGACGAAGGGATGAGCGTCGCACACGTGTGTAGGTTGCTCGCGGACAAAAACCACGTGCCAATGGATCCAAAGTGGGCCGTGGTCGAGCACTTGCCCGATCTCTTCATGGGTGAGTCTATTATCTTCTATTTGTCGACTGCTAATTGCTAGACTGGTGGCGCAACAATTATTCTCTGCTGGATAATATTTACATGCAACATTAATTTTTAATGCCGACATTCTTATTTTTAATCGATATTTACTAGAGCTTGAAAAGCCTTTCTTATATTTATGTATTATTACTAAAAATAGCATTGAATAGATATATTTTATATATAATATATGTATTATGTAACTTTAAATGACAAGCAGCGCGTTATTACATCCAACACATAACATCTATAATTTTTTCTTCATGTTATTGGAACTTTTTCTGAAAAGAATCCATCGCAAGCTTCAAGAAATTTTATTGCACTATCGACGTTGACTTGCAGAACAGAATACGTAATGAACGAGATATTATTAAAACTTTCAGAGAGGGTTTACGAGGACCACGAATTGTTGGTGGAAAATCTACTGCTGTGGACCAGGGATTCCAAAAACAAGTTGCTTTTCGTCGAGAGACCGGATAAAACACAGCTATTTCTCACGCCCGAGCGATTCCTTCTCGGTCCCACAGATCGCGGCGGCGGCGAGTACGACGACCACTCGAGAAATATCCTACTGGAGGAGTTCTTCTCGAGCAGCAACGTCGGCGTGCCCGAGGTAAGCGGCGGGATGACGTGTTTACGATCTCGTTGCGTCTTGGCAACCGGACTGAGCGATGGTAACGAGTTCGTTGACATACATCCCACTTCTCCTCTGCATCGATTACCATTCGGTTCCAGGTCGAGGGTCCGCTGTACTTGAAATCGGACAGCAAGAAGGGCTGGAAGAGGTATCACTTCATTCTACGAGCTTCTGGTCTTTATTATTGGCCCAAGGAAAAAGCGCGCACCGCTCGAGATCTCATCTGCCTGGCGACTTTCGACGTTAATCAGGTTTGCCATACTTTTATATATTCTTTCTCAATAATTTTTAGCGGTTGTACAAGTTGCATCCTATATTCATTATATCTCGTTCTACCTTAAGATTGTATGATCTCCTTCTTTAAATTATTTACTATAAAATTCTTCAGCCATGAATTATGCAAGTCGATTCCATAAAGAATGTCGCTAACTGTTAACCAGGTTTATTATGGCGTTGGTTGGCGAAAAAAATACAAGGCGCCCACAGATTTCTGCTTCGCCGTGAAGCATCCACGGCTGCAACAGCCTAAATCCACCAAGTACATCAAATTCCTCTGCGCGGAGGATAACGCGTCCTTGGAGCGATGGATGGTTGGCATCCGCGTGGCAAAGTACGGCAGGCAGCTGATGGAGAACTATCGGGCGCTCGTAGACGAACTGGCGCAGGAAGATCTGGACTTGTTAGCACACGCCAGATCGTGTTCGGTCAGTTCTATCGCTACCCCGCCGAATCAGACCCAGTATAACACGACGAATGACAACGCTAGGCAGTTTGCGGAGAATGTGAGGCACAGCAACGAAACGGTAGTCGCCACGACGAGGCAATATGACGGACAAAGACAGAGTTATAATCCGGAACAACGGCAGAGCTACAACAATGACGGCAGGCTGAGCAGAGCGAGCAGCTCCAGCTCTAGCGGATGCCTGTCTGATGGGGCACCGAGTAGTTGTGAGGTGATTAAATACTTTGATTGCTAAAATAAATTTATTAAAAAATATTATATGCGACTGTTACTGTTGCGTCATAATTACAATTATTTAATTCTCGCATATTAATTGTTTGGCAGGTGGCTTTCGAATGCGGTGAGTTTCCAACCGGCACGATAAAGCGGAAGCCGTCTATGAATCCGAAGTTGCCCCTCACGTCGATTACGAGGCAATTGAAAGAGGTCGGCGAAACCGTTCGAGACGAGCCGGACTCCTGTCCAAGTCCGACGAGCTCGGGATCCGGTACGCTGACTAGGAGGCACAGTCGTCGGCGAAGCGGCACTGATTCTGACGGATCCGGAACGTTGAAGAGACATCATAGATCTGGAAACGCGACGCCCGTTAGTCCAGTACCTCCCGGCACGCCGGTGAGGGAAAGAGCGAGCCCTATGGGATACAGCAGATCGGAAAGTCAAGAGTCGAAGACACCGACGAGTCCGATACAAGTGTGCATGGTAATTTATATTACTAAAGAATTTAACATAGCCTAAGATTTATCCGATATGTAACGAACAAGTTTGTGTCCTATAGATGGATTCAATTACCTCACTGCCACCACCACCGTCGCCATCAAGAGTCGCCGAGGAAATCGAGTCTGACAGCGAGCCGCTTCCGCCGCCACCCCCCGAGATGTTCCGCTCGAATCTCTCACTAGACTCTCTGCCGCCGCCGCCGGCACCCGGTGAACTTCCGGTTTGCAATACGCCGGAGCTCACGGGCTCCTCGTTAAGTCTCGCGTCTCTACCGCCACCGCCCAGCCCGCTTGTCGGCGAGACCGGAACGATACGTCGCGCCAGACCCAAGCAGTCCACCCCTACGAACTCTGTGACTCCCGAGAGCACTCCTACGCATACTCCCAATCCCAGGTCGCAGTCCAATCAAATATATACAAATAGTATCGCGCTGAACAGCAACTCGGTCCAGAATTACAATTCGAATGCATCTCCAAATGTTCATAATGCGAACAACACCGCCAATTCCGTATCTTCACCGCACAGTTCCTATCCAGGATCGACGGCGAGCACGCCGACCTACACTCCGAACTCGCCTAATTTCACATCGCCACCGCCCTTCGTGCCACCGCCGGCTTATGGTACTCAGCCGCCACACACCAATTCCCAGAGTCTCGGCCGGCAAAATTCCAAGGTCGAATCGATATACCAGTCCGGTCATCACAACACGATCCAGACGATCAGGCCAAATCCCAATATGGACACCGTCCGACGTAGCGCTATGAAACAAGGAACCGGTCATTACGCGGCGCCGCCTTATCTGGCCGAATTGAAGGCCGCTTCCAGTCCGCAGCCGCAACGACGAGTGACCATTCAAGAACCACCGACGTCGCCCAAGTCGAAGACCGGAACCGGCAAGAAGATCTCATTTAATCTACCACCTCAACAGGAACCCGGCAGTCCTGCGTTACCGCAACGAAAGCCGACGCCGCCTAGAAGATCCGACAGCACCAGGCTCACGTCGCCGAAGAAGCTGGCGGCGTCCGACCAGGCGCCGCCAGGCGATTTCCTCAAGGACCTCCAGAGGGTAATGAGGAAAAAGTGGCAGGTTGCGCAGAAGTGCAAGCTGGATTCGACGACGACGCCGCACGAGGTGCTCGGTTTTCGGGACCCGCCGCCCGCCGTGGCCGATTACAGGGAAACCAATGTGTCAAACTGGGTGCAGGAACACTACGGTGCGGATAATCTGTATGAGAATGTATACGCGACGGATCCTCACGCGCCGGTCGAGTACGCGTCCAGCCCGGCCCGGCAGACGACGGTGAGATTCGCCGACGAGAATCGCAGCATGAACATCGTCAACGCGATTGCCGGGAAGAGGCGACCGCCACCGCCGCCGCCCAAAAGGGCCGAGACCACGCATCTGACCACCACCAGAGCGATGCACTGACAATAGCAGATAATTCAGCCCCATCCCGAGAGGCGATGGTACTGCTGTCTCTGCGGCTGGTGGAAGGAATGAGAACGGAGACGGATGTCGGTACATCGAGTCCATCGCTGCTGCTAGAGAGAATCGTCAATGGGAGAAGAGAAACGTCTCTCCGATAAAGAGTAGATTGTATGGTTTCGTTGCCGGGCTCTGTGCTGGAGAATCGAATGAAAAAACGAGAGAGAAGAAATCGTTCGGACACGCACACGGAAGTTTAAAAGGAAAATATATTCAGTTTCGGTTCTGAACGGCTCTTTCAGTTTGGGAAAGAACTGAATTGACAGAATCTATTTATATGGATGTTAATGAGAAGAAACCGTTCAAATTACCAGCAACAAAATTATAAGAAGTTTGAGATTATCATGACAAATTACAAGTGCAAGAGGATGAATGTCGACGAACCGTCCTTACCGGAAGTTTTTCTTGACCCGCGTAACGTAACTGTCGTTTAGAGCTGAACACGAACCGAAAGATGAATGATGTAAACGCTCCTTTGAATCTTGAATTCGAGCCCGCGACAGAGATTCGATGGCGTCATGGCCGATCAACACATAAGGAACACTGCCGCACATACGAAGGATGTGATATAAATCATAAGCATTATGCCCACGCGCTTTTGATCTAAGGATCGCGGGGAAAAAAGAGAGGAGACGATGAGAAGCAACGCGACGGAACGCACGATTTTTTTAGGCAGGACGTAGGGACTAACCGATGATTTTATGCAGAATCAAGGAGTTCTGCTTGTGCGTAAATTTTATAACCGCTAACTGCCTCGTCTGCGATTTTCTCAAATATACTTGGATGTGATAAATAATATAAAATAAAAAATATATATGTGCGAATATGATCTGTTGAAGTATTCTCAAGTTTCATTCAATGAAATAATTATCGGTCAAAGAATAATCGTGTCCGAATATAATTTTTAATAATTTTGTCCAACACTTAAAAAAAAAGCTGATTTGGCATTCACTTCGAGAGAATATTGCTTCAAGAGTATCGCGAAAATATTTTACGTGCTTTAATAATAAAAATTGGAATAAAAATGTAATATATTATATATTATATATATATTTTTTTGTCTCAAGTTTTCGCTTCTTGAATTTTTCAAAATAAAAGGCTTGATGATTCGAACTGTATTCCCAAAGAATATAACGAAGGGAACGCATAATCTATAACGCGTAAACCGCAACGCTCGAAGATACGCCGAGGAAGAAAGTCGCCGCGAAGCGAAATTGATCTCAGCTTGAACTGGAAGCGACCCGACTTTTCGCAGCGCAAGTATTTCAACGGTAAAGAAGACAACTTTATCTTCTATACGACTAGAGCGTCTTTTTCGATCACATCCTTGTGCATAGGTATATATGTATATAAACTGATTATGTACGCGCGTTTACATCGTTATATCAACTTGGATACTGTATGTGTAGTTGTATTATACAATCGGAACACGCTTCACGATGTGGACACGATGACGAGATTTACGGTTATCCGTACGTTCATCGGTTGTACCCAATAGAACTACGTGACGATAACTTTACTCGCCCGTCGTCAGAGTGAACTGCGCGTGACGCGAGATCTCGTTTATGCCATTTTCCGTTTCTTTTTCGTTGGATAACGAAGGAAAACTGACGACGTCATTCTGACGGATCCAGGTGGATCAAATGAGAAGAATTGCCGAAATTCGCGCGAGTCTTTGATGAACCGATTAACTCTGGAGGCTAGATAGATAATAACAAATTCTTTGGATAACTCTTTAAATGAAGCTGCTGAAAGGAACACGCATTTAACAAGTGTTAGTTATCCGCTGGACCTGTTGGGTGGGCGATTTAACTAACTCTCTTTATCTTATTTCAAGTATCCGATTCCTAGAATTAGACGAAGAAAAATGCGATCTAGGTACGTGCGATTGTCTCACGTCGCCGACCGGAGAGAAAGCGAAATATGCGTCGGAGCGATCGCGACGATCGTCGCGCTAGCCAATGACGAGGAACAATATCGTGCGTAGCTTCCCGTTTGTGATCACGAATGGAATCTTCAGCAACGACTAGCCGAGCCTTTTTGAAGGTCGCGTAGCTGATGTAGTTTTATATCTCGATTTGTATCACGTTTGCATGACTTACATGTGAAAGTTAACGACTCTTCGGACTTACGGAGCATTCTGTATCGTCGAATTTTTATATACGAAGATCGGTAGCCGCTCGAGAAAGCCCGTTCGTGCGATATTCAACACGTAGAAAGTATTTTGTAAGATCAACAAATTTTGATACAAATATATTTCGCTGTAGTTATATACGCGAATATATGGATAGGGAACTACAGGACTCAACGTTACGAGTAGTTCATCGACCAGTTTTTCGAGCCAACGAACCATTTCTAATTTTTAATCCTTCGATATTTCCGAGAAGATCATATCCACGATAATCTATAATAAACAATTTATCTAAAGTTCATGCTGCGTATGTGTGCGGGATACTAATGCAAGTGACTTATCGACCCGTCTTTGGTCGACAGATCACTTTTGACAGATCGTGCCTGCGCGCGAGAATTTTTCAAATTTTCTAAAAAATACCGTGTGTGTATGTGCGTGAGGATTTTCCAGTTTTATAAAGGGTTGCGTTTTTTAATGTGCAACCATACAATTTTTTACGGTTTTTCACGCCGTGCCTGTGCGCGAAAATTTTCCCAATTTTCAAGGAGATCCGCACGATCTCGCACCGGACGTGCTCCCTCGAGCGAGCGCCGAAAACGAGCACGAATCTGCGTACTGTAACACAATCGAATTACTTAATAATAATAGCTAAAGACTAACTTAAAGTGGAACCGTCGATGTCGATTTAACTATATCCCCGCCTTACGCGCGGTTTAATCAAACTGAACCAATAATATAAATGCATTTTTGAGACTAATATATCGACTTTACAGAGACTAATGATCTTTTTCATACGAATTTCTAAAATATATTTCCCGCGAGTGCGAGTATCAGTGCCTCTTGGAATCAGCGCTTGGAATGCGACTCGCGAAATCTTATTCTTCAAGCAATTTGTCGAAGACATTTCGACAGTCAGTACATTTTATATTAATTTTATATGAATTAAGATTTCATATTTCGGTTTCATTTTGTGTTTTTAGACTTGATTGTATTTCCATCGTGATCTGAGATGGATTTACTAGCGTTCTAATAATTTTATTTTTTATTTTGATGGAATTTTTTTTTTTACGTTGCCATGAATTTGCTGCGCGGTCACGTCGCCGACTTATTCCAAGTAAATTGAAAGAGGGACTGGTACGGGACTTGTTCGGAATGCTGGCGCGTGCCGAGATAAAAACTTCTTTTGTATCCGTACTCCTTAAGGAACTTTCGCCGAGCTGAACACTCCAGGCAATCTGTGTAGGTAGCTTTAGTATTCGATGTACGCGTGCTGGCCATCGCTTAATTTTCGGGATGGATGAATTAATCGATCGTCCATTTCCAGTGAACAATAATTTGATTGAAGCTTTCGCGTTGAGATTAGTGCAATTGGCAATAGGAATCTGTAGGGAACGAAGAAAGCGAGAAAGCATAACAATGATTTATTGGTTACTAACAGAAATTATAACATTTTGATTATGGTATACGGGGTCGGCTTAGAAGATTAATCAACGATGTCGAAATCTGTCAAGTTAAGAACAAGCGGAACAAAGAAGTCGTTCATTGCGAAACGCGTTTTTCTTCATTACAACAATTTTCACGAGTAGATTTAGCGAACGAGAAAAATATGTTTCTTTTTCGCATCGAAGAATATTTGTACAAGATAGGAGGGAGCTTTTTTGAGTCGGCCCTATTTCGATTGCATACTCTAAGTTGTTCGTATAATTCTGTAAATATTGTGGTACACCACGAGGGAAAATTATTGTCGGTGATGTTCGCACTGCCGAACAATGATACAAACGTGTTTTACATACATTGTTGCGTAGGAGAAGTGAAGTGAGTGAGGCAAGTGTGAGCCTTCGAAGGTTTTGGAAGGGAAACGAATCTTGCGAAAGACGAAGTTTCACTGCGTTTCGTTTGGTTCAATCAATTGTTTCGCCTCGAGAAAATCGCTTCGGTCAGTTATCTCGAAGATGAGAGACCTCGAACACTGCGTTCTCATCGCTATCAGATCGATTCGATGTAGCTTAACAGTTAGACTCTAGGTCGTATTGCAGGTTGTTTCGGATACGCTCTGTGCAGGTGTGTTTAAAAAAATTGTGACAATACTGACATTATTTCGTGACCCGACGCCAGTTGTTTAGGTATAACGCGTACCGAGCGAACAAAGAAATGCGCAGCAGTTGAAATATTATAGGTATTATATTCATGTTTTTATGTAAATAAATTTTTGGTATATTTCAATGGTCGACGACCATTTTTTCTCTCCCTTGTGCCGTATCTGACGCTTGATATTTATTATTGAAGTTTATATTATAGAAATTTAATTTATTGTTGATAGACCACAATTTTTATTCATTATACTTATAATTTTATTCATTATAATTTTTGTAATATTCTGTAAGTTTTCAATTACCGACAGTGTGAGCAAAGATTTCGTAGAAACTTTTTCATAAAAGTTGCAACGTTTCGTCACAATAATTTCATAATATTACATATGAAAAAGAAAAATTGTATTTATTATTTTATATTTTTATATAATTTAAAATATTTTCCAATTTTATTAACCATCGGTAATACTAACCGTTGGTCATGAGAAGTAGAAAGAAGCTTCTTAATTTTAATTATAAATATAACAATGATAAAATATTACGAAAAATATTTATATTTATAAAAATTGCAATACTTAATGGCTTTTGTCAATTCTAATCTGACTATATTTTTAAAATCATATCTGAATAAGTTCCTTGTTACGTTACAAGATAACGCGCACGATTGCCGAGAAATAATTTTGCTTCTTTTGTTTAAAAGATTTTCTATTATACGTATTTTTATATAGAATTATTGTTTTTTACATATCTTGTCTTTTTCGTCTTGCGCGAACTCTTTTAGCATGATTCTCTTTTTCTCTCTTTCCTCCCTTCTCTCCTTTAAAATTTCAAACCGAATGCTTACCCTTCTGCCAGCGGGCATATAAGTGGCAAAAAGATGCGCGCTTCCGGTCATAAAAGCGCCTTAATAAAAAGCCCTCGTTTTTAATATTCTCAAGCCGTGTGTGAGGGACGCGCTCGTAGATACACATAAACTTGCGCGGTATTGAATTTTCCAGCTTTTCTCGCCGCGTAAGCCAAGGTTCACCGTAAAGCTGTGACTGCCGGCACGAATATTCGCTTCGATATTTTTTCTCTTCCTCTCTCTCTTTCCTCTTTTTTATTCTAATACATTAACGATAGCCCTCGCGTCACCGAGCATGATTCATAATTCATCTGTCGCGTTCTTTGTTGGCGATTCTTTGTCGCGACCGGCCCGCAATTAAGTTGGCCCGATAAAAGTTCGTGATAAGAGCCACCATGTTGAATCACTTGACGTCGCTTCGTAGAAAAATCGATTAGCAAACGGAATATTTCGCTCGTATAAGTGAGATACTCATTGCTATACATGTAAAGCGGATAAAGTCGTCTCTAAAAAAAGGATGAGATCACTGGGTGCTCACACGAGATTGAAGCTACATTCGGTTTTTGTTTCGATTTACAGTCTATTACTTTCAGTCTTGTATATATCTTTATTCTTTCTACACTTTGAATAAAACAATTATATATTTACTCTTTTAAGAAAGAAAGAACAAAAGAAAAACGACTGGGTGACTAAATATAAAAGATCTATAATATAAATTCGTCTTGTGCGTACTCTAATTGAATTCAACTTTTTAAAAAAGTAAGTCGCGAAAACAAGAAAACTGGTAAGTCACGCGTTTGATGTTTCCTTCAACAGTCTGCCCTTCTTCTCGCAACGCGTCTTATCATTGGGTCAGTTTCCGATAAAAATGATTCAATGTCGCGATTCAATGGAAGACGAGGAACATCTGCATGCATACGCTGAACTATTTCATAAGTTACAGAAGTAATTAGGTACCCTCGCTAAATCGTGATGGCTATATCAATCATCTTCCGGATTAGCGATATAATTAACATGCGTCTTATCTCGCTTACGAATGTGCCACGTGTCAAACATGTCGAGTTTCACATTCAAGTCTCCAAATATTTCTCAACTCAAGAATGTGCGAGAGTATTATCGATGAAGCATCGCCTGTCAAACCGAGGGACTCGACGAACAATATTGTAAGTAACAATCGATGGACAATTATTCGCAGCATGTGGGGCGGCTTTTCCGTGAAATTACGGCGGTCGCACGTACATATTACATTTGCTGAATTGCTGCGTTTTACTTCCTAACATAAGGAAGATTGACGTAAATATATGAAATTGCCGGGAGCGAGGAAGGAAAGGGGGTTACAGTTTTATGGGATTCTTTTTACGACTTACGGCAGTCCTGCGTTCTACTTTGCGTTTACGTCATGCGCGACCCTCGAGCGTTTACGCGCGTCGCTGTTGCGAGCAAGGAGGAATCGAGGGGGCTCGAGGTGGAGGATGTTATACGTTTCTCGGTCGGTATCGAGTGTGTTCCCTCCGAAATTCCCGGTCTTCCTTGCTTTCCAAATTCTGTAAAAGTGTCCCACGTGCGCGCATAAAATGTCCCTCCCTTCCTCCTTCTCCTCGTTGCGTCACTGCGTCCGGCGTTTTCGAGAGCTGTAACTTCGGCGCGACCCCCGCGACGCACAGCGCGACGAAATTGCGTTAATAAAATATTATTATAGTCTATCAAATCCGCCGATGCGAATTCCGATATTAATAAAAGTATTACGGCGCAATTAATTTTAAGGGCAGTAATCTAGGAGCCGAAACGAGCTTTGAACGAGTAAACCGCAAACTTGACAAACTCGAGGAAATGAAATTTCAAACTTTATTGCGCATAAAGATAAGGAAAGATGCTATATAACGATAGTATAAGCGAATTTTTTTCGTAAATCACTATAAATGAACTGTGAATACGATACGCGATGCCACCAATGCTTCTCGATGCGATGAATTCACAGAGATAATATAATCCTCGAGAAAGGTCAGAGTGCGCCGAAAGGCGTTGACGGCGACGTCGTTCCCGTCGTCTTCGACCTCGGCGTATCCGCGAACTACAAGAGTGGACGGGAGAACGAGGAGGACGAGGAGCACAGCGCGGAATGAAGCGTTTGAGCGGCCCGCTTTCCAGGAACGCGGGCGTAAATCATGATTTTATTACAGATAATTTTACGAGGAGTAGAGCTCGCCGACACCGCCGTTGCCGCCGCCGTCGCCGCTGCCGCCGTCGACGACGACGACGACGACGACGCCGAGTTAGCTACTTTAAACTGGTAATCGCGCCACTTGCTCAAGAACGTGCCAAACTCGTCGCGCCGCGAAAGATCGTTAGCGAAACAGCGGACCGAGGTGATCTCCGCTAAATATTCCAAGCGGAAAAAGAAGTGGAAAACGATTTCTTGTTTCTTATATTGAAAAAAATCGGGAACGAAAGGTGCAGTAATTTGGTCATATTTCTACTTCTTTAGAATATTTGAGGTGTGTGCTTTGAAGAAAAAAGTTAGGCGCATTTCTTGAAAGCCTATTTCCGAATACTCGGAATGTATAACATTGACAAAAAATTGAGAGCTGGTTTAGCTAGGAATTTATAAGTGTCTTTTAAAATAACAAGTAAAATCGTGTAAAGAAATAACAAGGGTTTACGCAGGTATTTATGGATTGTAATTTTTGAAGAATTCCATTTTTCGTTTTGAAGGATTAGGTATAATCTTGCTAATCTTGAAGAAGTGCCTTGTGCATCATGAACTGTCATAAGAAATTTGACGTTTTTTTCTTCATTAATCCTATAATCCTTTCAAAAGCAAATATTTAGTACAGGATATGAGGATTAACATTCCCTTGATTGATGTTCACTCCAACATATCTTTTTCTGCACAGCTTGATTCGTCAAAACACTTCTCCAATTACTCCGGACTCAATTGTCAAGTAGTATAAATCATGGCTTTAAAAGAGCCCTCGGGGTCTAAATTAATAAAAACAAAATAACGAAATTAGGAAAGACCTGAGGAGGAGCCCCGGGCTATTTTTCCGCCGGATTTTATCGACTTCGCGAACGAGTTTGTATATCCGGCAAGCGGGAGTCAATTAAGTTTGATTACCCGAAAGTTCGGTGAGAGCCGAATCAGCATAAATTCGTGGCACCCCCGACTCCCGACGTCGCGATCGCACATCTTCGTCCATGTGGAGTTTCGACTTGCCACTTCTCGTTTCCGTCCTCTTTCTCTTCCCTCTTTCTCTGCCGGCGCCTCCTTCATCCTTACGGCGGAAGTGCCACCGGCTTTACGATCGCCGATACGAGAGACGTTTTACCGGAATTAAGATTCCGGGGCGGAAAGGAGAAAAGGGGGGAAGACGCTCGCGCCCCGAGCTTGTCTGACACTTTAAGCGTCTCGTAAGTCCGCGGGAGAACGCGTAAATTATTCGGGCGCGACGCACGTCGCTTCTTATAAACGTTCCCATTTACATATAGGCCGATTTTACAGCGGGCATGTAAACGTTTTGCATTATTCTGTCATAAAACTTGCGGATACATATATTCAGTCGCATTTCGCGAGAAAAATGTGAAAGCGCGGGGTAGTTGTTGCGTTCTTTATACATATACCATGTGAACATTTCAATAAGCGGCATACAAATGTCAAGTATTAATGACGGACGGGTTTCAGAGTCCCTTCGTCAATGAATCTTTACGGATTAAGATAAGAAGTTATTTTAACGACGGACAAACTATTCATCGTCTGGAGATCAAATCCAATCTTTCGGATATAATTCGGATGTAAAAAAAAAAATTAAAAATTTTTTCGACAATGGCGCCAATGTTAAATACCACGAATTGTTGCCATCTTTTTTGATCTCATCGCGTGTGAAACGACCGTGATTTCTGATCTAGGTTCCTCCATCAAGGACCTCGGCGACCGCAGGAATGTCGGTCAGTGTGCATGCCCCCTGGCGGACCGCTGGTGGTCCCCGACTATCGCTCTCGGGGCCCGTACTTCGCGACCTTGAAAACGACACCGCTCGTTGCGGTAACTTCCTCTTTACCGCCTACGATATCGTGTGAATGTAAATTTCACGGTGGATGCCATTCCGGTGCGTAATGCAGCACTTCGAATTTAACACGTGTTTCAAGAACCTGTTTGCAGCCCGGCGTTATTATTTTGTTTACCGTGGAAATAATAATCATTAATTCACCAATCTTTGTTGAAAACAACATTAATTATTCATCAAGTGTTTGTGTTTGTAAAATTAACAATAAACATTTCCGAGTGGATTAAT